ATGAGCAAAGGTTACTAAGTATTGACCAATTAAATTATGAATACTCTAGTGAATTTGTTCACTTTTGTAATTTTCATCTCATTTGAAGATATACAATCGACCCAAGATGCTGAACATGGAATTAGAAAAGTAAACGAGCAACGTGAACAGACTTGGTGATTAGAGTTGTCAGATTGTTGCAGAACGTCAGAGTGTCGTCGGTCACAGCCGGGCAGATGGAAGCAGAGGGGCAAAGTGGGGTAAAAAGTTGATTTCTCCGCGAGAGGAGTCGGAGGAAAGGGAGGCATGATAAATGTAAACATTCAAAGGGCATGTTTTAAAAGGTACGGATAATCATACAAACGTGGCAGAGGATAATACGGACGTTTCTTTGACATTTCGACAGACTGGATGGATATTGCGCGACAGAATTACAGTTACTATAGGTGCCGTGCATATTGAACGTTTCGTCTCAACATTGGGTATACGATGTTGGCGGATGCAAAATAACGCGATGTTTCATGACTTTATGACAGAAGCGTGAACGAGGCAGAGTGAACGATGAGCCGCCCTAAATGGGACGTGCTGTGGTCCCCCTTTCACTCGGACCGATTTATCACATGGGACAGCGATGCGTTATTGAATCTTTACGAGATCGGACCGCGTGAGAATAGCGTGCGGGACGATCAAACTTGTAAGTTTATTGCAGATATACACTAAGTTCATGTTTAAAAAAAAATATATAAATATATATATACTTTTAAAAATAAATATATAATATATATAATATATATGTCACAGTTAAAGTGTTAACTTTAGTAAATATATATACTTAGTCAATCTATATATTTAAGTGTAGCGAATGTATACATTGAGCATTACAGCAGACAACAGTAAGTACATTCACTGAGTTAACACTTTGAATGTAACATATATAATGTTCTCTTTAATGCAGATCTGCAGATTTCGGAGCATTCCATTGCCGAGCTGGTCTGTTCAATTACCATCAACAGTTATGCGAAATGTGTTGATATATATCCACAACCGGAGCTAGAAATCGTAGCCAGTGGTCACGCGAATGGAAAGATAGTCCTTAGTACCCTTAGCCCGCCAGAATTTGATTACCAGGGCTTGGTGGGCAGAGAGTTTTGTAGAGATCATTATGTTACATTGTTATTGAGCGATATTACATCTCGACGATACATTACTTAATCTTTCTAATCTATATGAAATTTCAGTCCCAAAATATATGCGATCATGCAATGTTGTTGCCTGGAATCCTGTGGATACTCACCTGATCATGTCAGGTCTGGACAAACACAGCAAGGAGCACTCTGTGTTGCTTTGGGATGTGCACCATTGTCCAAAAGGTTCGGAACGGCCAATAATAGAAGCTGGCATATCAGAGACTGTACATTCCGCCGCTTGGTTCAAACATGAACCAAGATGTTTGGCCCTCGGAGTTAATAACAAACAATTGAAAGTTATAGATTTCAGAGGTACGCTTTTAAAAGATACAATTGGCAATTTGTTAACGTACAATTTGTAAATATTTAAAAAATTTTTTTAGATTCTGCAAAGGTGGTAAACGTTACTCCTACAAAAGCAATATATAATTTGTCGGTTAATCCCCATAATAATTATCAGCTACTTTCACACGTTGACAATCTGATAACAATTTGGGACACTCGATGTTTTGAGAAACCGATCGTTACTATAATGCCGCTACGGCATGTTACAAAGGTATTGTGGTGTCCCACTAGACGAAATTTAATTGGTACATTACAAAAAGATTCAGGTATATGTAGTTTTAAACTATATTTCTACAATTTATACATAGTTTTTAAAAATTAATGTTAAACATTTTCAAAAGTGAGCTGTTAGTGATAAAAAGAAAAACAAAAGAAGAAATGCATTTATTTTGCAGTTGGCTTGCATCTATTTGATATTCAGTATTGTGGAGCTGAAGATACTGAGCCTGGTGTTTTAGAAAGAGTGGTTCTACCACCATGGCACAGTCCCGTAAGTTTTTCATGGCATCCGACTGATGAGAATCGATTGTTGGCAATATCACTGCAAGGTATTTGATGATATTTTATATTACAATATAATCCTTCAATTTTGTTTAAGATTATTATAATATTCTTATTACTCAGGTGTAACCGATTATACTGTATCTGAGAGAATAACGCTCAATTGGTCTGCTCGGTCATGCCTTATGTGGAATTGCGCTTTTAAATCATTTAAATATATACATAGTGAAGATAGCGTTTATAAGGAATTAGAGGATATCTCGGTTTTAACTAAAAGGCGTGCTATGTTCGAATATGGCTTGCTTGTAAGTAGATAAAGTTAATAAAAACAATTTCTTGAACTTTAATCAATTTTTATTTTGCTTTTAGTTTATATAAGCCTCTTTTTCTTTAATTTTATTATCAATAATATTTAACCAGTGTAAATTTATATGTGTATGTTACAGCCGGAGTTAGCTCACAATGGTGATATAGCCGAGAACGAAACTTTAAAGAATTTATGGCAATGGTTATACCTTAGTCGTTCTTTAGTAGAAGACGGCACTGTACAGAGTCCTGATACTAAGCATCCCGGTGTGAGGTAAAATTACAATGCCTTATATTTAGAAGTATATATGTAAACATAATGCCTCCAATTTTTACATAGGACAATTTTGAAATTGGATCAGCAAAATTCAATTAATGGTTTAAAAACAGAAGTGATTCATCGTCCGTGGACGGATATAGGTACTGGTTATATGACAAAAGTTTACAGGTATAATTAGAGTGCATACAAATGTTGAAAAAGTATGGGTGTTTACACCTAATGTAATTTTGATCAATACCAATCACAGATCACCGGACAGAGAAAGATGTCTTCTTCTGTGCGGTTTGCGATTTGACAGAGAGACCAATACGGCATATGATAATGCGTATCTGGAGAAGTTAGAGAAGGAAGGCGCATATGCGAAAGCAGCCGCGTTTGCAGTATTTAATCTCTGCCTAAGGCAAGCTATAGATATCTTAAACCGAGGTGCCAGTAAGAAACAAACGGCTATTCTAAATATGGTAGCTATGGCATTGTCAGGTTTCTCTGAAGAAAGTACTACATTATGGAGAGAGTCGTGTCAAAAATCTAAATCTCAATTATCAGATCCTTATTTAAGAGCAACATTTGGTTTTTTGACCGCCGATAACGATTTCTATGAAAGTGTACTTGTAAGTATGCGAATATATGCGAATCAAGATTTAATGAGATTGATGTAAGGCGCCTAATAAGTTCGAATTATAGAATGAAAATGGCATGGCTGTCGAAGATCGAGTAGCATTTGCTCTCATGTTCTTATCGGATAATAAACTGCATGAATATTTGAAAAAATTGACCGAGAAGATAATTGAAGATGGAGATCTAGCGGGCTTCTTAGTTACAGGTTACGAAAATATGTTTTCTATTTTTATGAATTTAATGTTAACTATGTGCTCATTTGTAATGTATTGTCGCGCTTTAGGTGTTAGTATAGAAAGTATACAGTTATTGAGTAAATACTTGGAAATTACCTCAGATGTTCAGAGTTGTACTCTTATTGCTATTAGAACTTTTCCGCCTAAATTGCTTCAAGAGAATCAAGTTCAAGTATGGATTACGAGGTATTACAACAAGTTTCTTTTGTAAATATTTTCTTGAATTATTCTCAAAACAGGTTATATTATTCTTTCTTTCTTCTGCTTAAAATCTTCAATTTTTCAATCCTTTGTACAAATACACACACACATGAGATGAGAATCGAAATTGAATTCCATATCTACAGATTATAAGTCGATTGTTGTCATATAGAGTTACGCATTGGTTCTTTTATAAATTTCGAATGATCAAGCTTTTGATTTTGCATGTTGCTGTTATAGTTACAGACATCTTTTGAACGCGTGGAAATTATGGTTTCAAAGAGCTAAATTTGATATTGTCATGAGATCCTCGACACCACAAGAAAGACCGCCACAACAAATACATATATCTTGTCACTTTTGCGGCAAAAGTATATCTGCTTCCATGCAAGGACTGAGTAGGACGAGAGTCCCATTTGGTAGATTAGGCAGTACGCCTAACAAATTAAAGGTACATTTCTATTCTTAAGCTAGATTTTCGTATGATCAATCATTAATATATTTATCAGATCTCGGATTTCTTGATGGTATAGAACTTTTTTTTAATATCTTTTATAGATGACGGCTTGTCCAAATTGTCGCAAACCTTTGCCACGTTGCGCAATATGCTTGATGCACATAGGCACCGTTAGCGGACTGCAAACAGCTCCAAGTCCTGGTGGTACCAGGAACGAGGAATGCAATGCTAAGCTTACGGAATTTAATAGCTGGTTTTCATGGTGTCTAACATGTAAACATGGAGGACATAGCGAACATATAGCTCAATGGTTTCGGTAAGGATACAAGATTGCATTTGTTATAAATATATGTTAGTTAATAAAATATAAGTGAAAATCAGCCGATATTTGAATAATGTAAATAAATGAAAAGTATCTTATTCAAACTGAAATTTTACTGCTTAATGATGGTTGCTTTTTTTTTAGGAGACTCAGATGACACAAACATTGTTCTATTCTTCGTTGTATTTCATGGAAAACAAAAATAGAACGACATTCGTGTCTCCTACAAGAAAAGCAGTCATTTTCTATATGAATATTTGTATACATTTCTCAGTTCCTTAAACTGTGCGCAAATAAAATATATATATAATCAATATATAAAATATATAATCAAAAGTCGATATTGAAAGATGTAAATGTAAAACATATGTTGCACTAAATTTGCAACGACGGTATTATTAATTTCTGTACCGCTATGTTTCAGACAACATACTGAATGTCCCGTAACGTCTTGCAATTGTCGCTGCTCATCTTTGGATTACACGCGTAATGCAACTGTGACATAGGTATAATTACCAAAAAAGGTATAATTTAAAAAAAATTTAAATATTCTTATATATGCATATA